TAGTATGTGTGTGTATATATATATATATATATATATATATATATATATATATATATATATCATACTTTTAAGAGAAGAAATTTCTGGGATAATGATAATATAGGGAATGAAAGTTTAAATTGTTCAACCCATGTGATTTGAGAATAATGCTTTTAATTGTTTAACTGTTTCATCGGTGTTTTATTACCATAACTTATTTCCATAAGTACTAACATAAAACATAATTTTTTTTTTTAAATATTTTATCAGGAGCTTGGGCTAAGATCTGGTGAAGATTGTGATCTTTGTGGAAAAAAACTTTATCCTATGGAAAGAATGGAAGCAAGTAGTTTTAAATTCCACAAAAACTGTTTTCGCTGTTCTCACTGTAACAGCATGCTCAGGTTGGTGTACAAGAAATTCTGAGTTTTAAAAACTGAAATACTTTTAAAATATATTCCATTTACATAAATTATTCAAATTTTTATCTAAAGGACTATAACTTTATTACAAATTTAAAGTGTTCTTAATTGAAGAAAACTTGTTCACGGAACAAATGTTTATTGTCTATGATTTTTTTTCTTGTATGTTAGAATGAATTCATGATAAAGTATGTAAGTGAATAAATATTTTTTCATCCTTTTGAAGGGCCAAGTTTTTAAAATCACCAAATAGGTTTTAATACTGCCTAATAAGAATGAACTGTTTTGGAAGAGACACATACAAACTTTCAGTACAATAATGCAGGACTGGCTAATGAGATATCAGAATACATCAGTTATTTATACTATGTGTATATCATACTTTAAACAAATTTCTGGAGAATGATTATATAAGGAATGAATGTCTAAAATATCCATAATATAAGTAGTTAAAAGCATTGTTTTTAACTGTTTAACCTGTTTTGACCTCTTTTTCATAAGTGCTAACATAAGGCATAAGGAAAAACCAAGAACAAAATAATCTATGTCCAAAATATTAGTATGGGAAAGTGTGGGTTTTACAACTAGTACAATTTTTGCTTGCTTTCTAGAAATGTTCTGTCTTATCTGTAAACAGCAGTGTGGTTAATGATCTTGAGTTTAATGTAGTATCAGGTAAAGGAACTCAATTATGAACTGCAAGATGTAAAAGTGTTTTTCTTTTGGTCTAAATATATGCCCACAAATACTGTTGAACTTTAGCATTTATGTTTTGAAATGCATTTAAAGCTATTCAATGTTCAAGTGATTGTGGACATAATATCTTATGTTTAAGGAATCTAAGTAATTTTAGAAGTTTCATGGATAGATAATATCTTTTCAGAGATTTCATGTTGTGTAACTAAGAACATTTGAACTTGTTTAGAAGTATAGCTCATGTGTAAAGATTTTTGTTTGTTGAAGAAATTTTTTCTGCTGTTACCCTTACCTAATATAATATTTATTATCCAGACTAGATAATTATACAATCAACAGTCGCAAATTCTACTGTACACCGCATTTCAAGCAATTTTTCAAGTCCAAAGGAAGCTATGAAGATGGATTTATCGATAATAACAAGAAGGAGACTAATGAGAATGGGGATGCTTCTGACTACACAGATGGTGACACTCCTGACATGCAGCAAGTAACTGTGAATCAGGAAGTCGCAGTCTGAAATCATTTGATAATGTAGAACCCTTCAGGTTATAGCCACTGTTTCCTCAGAAAGCTAACTAAGATTACAGCTTTAGCTTTTGTACATTGTTATCAGCTTACCAAAACGAAAAACTGATGATGTATTTTAAACGTTTATTTTGAAATGCTTTAATATTATTTAATACATCATGGTACTTAATACTCTTTTTTTTTTTCTTTTACATTTTTTTGAAATTTGTTTTACTCTCATCTTAAGTGCACAAGTTGTATGGTATATACTTTTAATTCCCTTGTGTGAGTTTTTCATACAAAAATAAAGTAAATGAACAGAAACCTGTGGGACACATGGAATGTTTAAAAACATTGACAATAAGCAATTATTATTATTATTTGGAGAATGATTTTAGAGAAATCTAAAAAATAATACTGCCGATGATTTTGAATTAAATCTTATAATATTGTTTTCTTACTGTGTTCTGCGAGGCATACATAAAAGACTGGCATCATCCTGTAAGTGGTTTGCTATCCTGAATTAACCTTATTAAGTATGTGATATACGTATATAAGAGTGTAACAATTTATTAAGAGAGAACAGTGTTCCAAATATATAAGATTAAAAAGGTTTTCTGAAGTAGAGTTAACTGCAAAGTGGAATTCTTTTTGTGTAATTTAAATTGAACATCAGGAAGAACAATATTGAATATAAGTTGCAGATTTTTTTAATTTTTAAAATAATATCAGTATTTTGTGAATGAATTTAACCCTGGTATTATTAACCACTCGTTTTAAACCATTCAAGGAGTATTTTAAATTAATGCATGTTTAGTATGCGAGGTATTTGTAATCCACCTTTTCCAGTGTGAAATAACAGCAAAGAATTCCAGATAGAAAGGGAACAGTTTTAATATCTATATTTTCACAGTACATGACCTATATAAGTTAGTATTTTATTTTTATGTAAGTTTTGATTTGCATAACTTAATGTAGGTCAATGTATATATTTATGTATATCTTTATCATTAGTAATTTTTGGCTGAAATAAGGTATCAAGTTAAATTCTTTTGAAATACTATTTGCATTTTGTGTGTTTATTATGGTAAATGTGCCAATTTTGTGATAATTATTTCCAGTCAGTTTCCACAGCATTCCTATTGATTTTTATAGCAGAAACTGAAAAAAATAGTTTAATTTCATTTAATTACGTTTTTTTTTTAGTTAAATTTGTAAGGAAGGAATCGGTTAAAATCTGGTCTGTACCCCTGTCTTCATATCCCGGTTTTGTTACTTTTAGAAGTATTATTAAATAACCTGGATGCAAAACATTTGGATTTTATTTGGGGGGGATGGTGCACTTATTTTGAGGCACTGTGTTCAATATAACATTTAAAATACATTTCCTGAAAAAACTTGTACTTGGACCTAAAAAGCCAAAAATTATATTTTTGGATCTAAATTGATTTAGTTTTTAAAATGTGAAATATGTTAATTCAATTAAGCTTACTAGTAATCAGTGTATTCGGAATTGAACCTATAGGTTTTGAATTATTACAAAACGCTTTGAATAATGTATTTTATTGTTTGAAAGTTTTAATTACAAGACTTCTTGATTTTGCTAAATCTGTTTGTACAAAGTTTAAATAGAAGGTCAAAGTTTACCATGGTGCTTACTTTTTAAAATAATTGTTCACTTTCTTGTCAGTTACTGAAACTAGGTAAACAATGATTTTTTATCTTGGTATTATAGGTGGGATATGGTAATTAAATAAATTTAAATTAAATCCTCTCTGGAATTGGTTTTGAGAAAATACAATTTCAATGGCATACTTTGATTGGTATCTGTCAGTTATTTTAAAACACATTAAGTGCAAAAACTTATTTTGCCATTGAAATTTATAAAGTGAATCCCTTTGCATTTATGAAAATATATGTCAATGTATGATAAAGTAAGAATAAAGGCTTCCTTTTTTTTAGTTGTGTATGTAGAATTTTAATAACTTTGTACCTCAAATGGGTAGAAAGGTTTTCTTGTATTTGAGTGTACTGTCACCTTACAAAAAACAGGCATTATATCAAAAATACTCGTTTTCCTGCACTCTTTTTTTTTAAATACTGAGACGAATTTCAACAAAAAAAGATCAAGGTGATAGTGAAAATAAACATACTTGTTCAAATTACAATTCACTAGGAATGAATTTGATAGAATCCTGGTTATTGAGTATGGCTATGTTTGAAATAAATAATTAGAAGTTCAGAAAATAATTGCTTAAAATATTTTAAAGCAACAATATATGTGAAACAAAAAATTTAAACAAGTGATAAAATCTTTATTTCATGTAAAGTGTTTCTTATTTGAGCATGAATAAAAACTCGGCGAATCCGCATTTCAATGTATAAGAAAGAAAACCGAGAAATAATCGTACATTTGAACTATGGGAGTGGCATTCTCCTTGTCAATAAAATGTTGCGACCTCGTAGGACCACCACTGACCAAAATTTAAGTTAGTTTGAAGTGAGATAAATTATTCTATAGTTGTGATGTACTTCAATAAAATAGGACAGTTTTAGATTCTTGATGCAATAGGTAAAACATACTGAAATGTAAAATGATGGATTCGAGCAACTTTTAACAGATACAAGTAAAGGAAACAAATTATCACAAAATGAAAAAGCTGTGTAAGGTTGGCTACTGAACTTGAACAAAGGAACCAAATAAGATGGGGTGGAAATGGACATATCACTTGATCAGTTAATGGTCACATAGCAGACTAAGGAACACTTAAAACATTTTATGACAAACCTTTAATCACTGTGGTTCCCATGCAGTTACTAGCAGGGAACTCAGTGAATCCAAGAATATCACATATGTATGCTTATCTGTATGTATGTATCTATGTGTGTATGTCTATCCAATAATTCACCTTTTTCTCCACCCATTTATCTGTATTTCTGTATGTAGGCTGAAAAAAAATCCCTGTTGTCTTCTATAAAGTATTTATGTTACTGCAGTCTTTCTCATGATAAAGTAAACATGATAATGGCAAGTCAGGAAATACCCCCAGGGATACAATATACCTTGTTTTATAGTGAGAATGACCATCATTCACATGGGTAGCACCTGTGCCCTCAGAGGAATGGCATTGTTGTTCTTCCTATATAATGCCTTGTTTTCTCAGCCTGGAACAAGACGATTGAAAATAAGTCAATTGAGAGAGAGTTACTTTGATGTACACAAAAACAAAGACATCTGTACAGTAAAGGTGGTAAAATACACCTGCTCTTGAAAGCTTTAATTGTTATTTAACAGGGTCAGAAATATAGACTATTTCACTGCACTATACATTGTATTCAGTCTTTATTTGCTTCAGATTCAGTCAAGGTTAAGATAATTGGATTTTGCTTCATAATCTCTACATAAATCTGTCTGTCTGGTGTTTGTATCTGTACATATATGTGTATGTATATAGTATTTGTCCATCTGTCTGTTTGTATGTCTGACAGTCCGTTCATTTGTATGTTGGGTATCATATGTACTTTCTCATAGAAAACATTATTTTAACCTAGTGCATGTTGTGTACAAAGAAATGTTAATACTTTCCGCTGGCAAATCAGGTGATGCCTCAAAGATACAACGTTTCTTGTTTTGTTGTAAGAGTGACCATCAGTCAAATGGATGTCACCTAGAATCTGAGAAGAATGAAATTCTTATTCTTCCTCTGTAGTCTCTCAGTGGTGAGTTTACAGACTTACAATGTTAACATCAGGGGTTTGATTTCTCATGGTGTACAAAGTGCAGCTAGCCTATTGTGAAGCTTTGAGCTAAAACGATCAAACAAATATTTGTATATAATGCCACGGTTTCTCAACGTGGAACAATATGATTGAAAATTAGATAACTGAGAGAAAACTAATTTGAGATATACACACACAGATATCTGTCCTGTAAAGGTGTTAAAATGCATTTGCTCATCAAAGCTTTGATTGTTGTTTGTGAGTTCTCAGAAGTAAAGACTGTTTCACTGTGCGAGGCATTGTGCTCATTCTCTATCTTTGCTTCAGACTCGAAGTTGAGAAAATAAAAATTTGATCTCTAAGACATTTTACGATGAACTTCCAGTTATTATGTGGTTGCTATTCAATTACTAGTAGGAAAAGTTGGCGAACCTGAGAATAACACATATGTATATATGTCTGTCTGTATTTCTCTATGTAAGTCTGTATTTCCATCCATATGACTGACTGCATGTTTCTATGTATGCATGATTGTCCATTTATATGTCTGTATGCAATGTGTCACATGTACTTTATCGTAAAAAAGATTGTTTCGACTTAACACGTATAGAAAGAGATTGTGATATTTTTCCCTAGCAAGTCAAAGATGTCCCAAGTATACAACATTCCTTCTTTTGTAGTAAGAGTTAAAATCAGTCACATGGGTGGTGCTTGTGCTTTTAGAAGAATGGCATTATTGCTCTCCATATATATGATTCCATATTTTCTCGTGTGGTAAGATGATACAGAATAAGACAATTGGGTAAAAGATATTTTGAGAGATACAAAAATTAACACAAAAATATCTCTCCAGTTAAGATACTAAAATACGTTTACTCTTATTAAAAGCTTTGGTTATTGTTCATGAGTACATTATGTCCAACTCTCTCTTTCTGTACTACAGACTCAGATGAAGTTAACATAATTTAGACTTTGCTCAATAAGATATTTTATGGTGATTCTCCACTTATTCTGTGTCTCTTACCTGATTACTTTCAGAGAAATCAATGAAATTGAGATTATATATGGCTGTCTGTATGTTTGCATGTATCTATGTTTGTATGTTTGTTTGCGTTTATCCTTCCAGCTAACTCTCTGCCTTCTGTCTGTGTTTGTATGTTCGCTCATCTATCTGTCCGTCCATGGAGATGTTTTATCTAATGATTAAGTAGTTTTTAAAGAAGTTTACTTGGCTGACAAGTACGGAGAGGCATCAATATAAAGAAAAACAATGTGACTGCCCATAAATTGGTATATTAATACCTTACTTTGAGAGACCTAAACTTTAAATAAATTGTCTTGATTCATGCTTGGAGATATATGAGCCTGATATGTAGGACACTTATTAATGCTTTGAAAAGCCTAGACCTGATATACAACCATCACCCTTGATTGGAGAGGTCTAGACTTCATATGTATTACTTGAATTCTTGTTGGAGATGCTTAGACTTTATATGTGGTACCTAGTTTATAGTTGTAGGAACCTAGACTACACGTACATTGCATTCATTTGTTGCTGGAGATGTCTAGATTTAATATGGTTCATGGTTGGAGAGAGGTATCGGGATATACCTGAATCATTATTGGAAAGACCTTCAATCATGCATAAGCCTAGACTTGACGTGTGGTACACCTTAAAACAATATATACCACTGATTTTGATGAATCTGTAACACTTATGAAACATGGCACACTATGAAATGGTTTCTTCTCTTTTCGTACTGCTGATCTTTATTTTTTGAGCGAATTAGCAGACCACTTAAGTCTTGATTTGGTTGTGAGGTAAAGAAATATTGTGATGTAATGTCACAGGAAAGAAAAAGATCTATAGATCACAGTTTGCTGACACACATACACACACATATATAACTGGTATATTTTAGCACTTTAACCAAAGCTTTGCTATTTACGAGATTTCTAGTGTTCTATGGATTCTAAACATTCTTCTGCTCAGATATCATGCTCTCCAATGAATAGTTCGTAACTATGTTCAAGCAGTAAAACGCTGTAATACATTATGTAACTTTGCAAATTCCTTCTAGTATTTTAAGTAATTTCGTTTGCTGACAGGTCAAAACACTCACACTCTTATCCTATTCTCGTAGATGGTGTTGCACCTACTTGTTCAACTGGCAAAGCAAGTATATTTGCTTTCTTTCTGGAATTGCTCTCTCATGCTACGGGTCAGCATCCAATGAGTCATAAAGATTTCATAGACACCCTTTGTCAAATGATCTTCCATTTCCTGAACTCATCCTCTCTACCATTCAACAACTGGATGACTATTCTCTGACTACACTCATTACTGTTCATGATATTCAAATAACTATCAGCAACAAATGCAACACTACCCTGGTCAAGAGGGTATGGCCTACTTATATCTTCAGCATGCCCCATTTTGGTTCCTTATTCTCCTGGCGACGTTTTATAACTTTATACTTCGCAAAGGTTTCTATATTGTTCTTGAAAGACGTTGACTATCTTACTCTTCCATAAAAGCTGGCAGTGTTGGATTATATTGTCCCATCAGCCTGACTAGTGTTCTTAGCAAAATCTTCGAAAGAGGTTTTATTTGCAAAATGCATACATTTATTACACATCATAAGCTGCTTAACAGTACTCATCCTTCAATTCCATATCAGCTTCTAAGATTTTCAGACCATCATCTTGAATCGTTTAAACGCATTTAAAGCTTTATGTGTGTTGTTATTTGACCTTGTATAGGCTTTTGACTCTGCCTGGCATTTTAGCCTTATCTATAAACTCCCCCATTTGGCACTTCCACTTACTTTGGTCTGGTTGATACATCGATTTACCTCTGAACAATGAGCAAACGTATGTATTGAAAGCATTCATTCTTGTTCCTTTCATTGGGTGTAGGAGATCCAAAAGGCTCGGTGCTGTCACCTCTGCTTTACATACTATATTTTGCTGATTGCCTACCCCTAAATCTCTGGCAGTCTACCTGCAACATAATGGTCACCACCAATAAAGGTTCTATAGGCTTCAGTAAGTGCCTTCTTTTTTAAAGTTGCCATTGGCACTTTACCATTAATGTTGGCATAACCAAAGTCATTTTGCTTGGTCCAACCTGCCACAAACTTCGACTATGTCGTAACCCTTCATTAGTTGATATGCAAGTCAAGAAGGTTCCAATACAGCTCTGCAATACAGTCATATATTTTGGTTTGTTATTTGACAA